GTAACTATGTAACATGTTGATTGTGGACACTCCCAAAAATGGGATCTGTTAACACTTAAAGTGACCCTGTTGTCACCCAGACTACTTCATTTCATTAAAGTGGTCTGGGTGCACTGTCGCTGTCTCATGTAGTCCTGCAATATAAATCATTGCAGTTTTAGAGAAATTGCAATGATTACCACCAGGCAACCACTAGAGGCACTTCCTGGGTGCTAATAGACTCTAGGTCCCATAAATGATGCTGGACCTCTCCATGCTCTGCATGAGGACATCCAGCGTTAGTGAAATTCCCATAAGAAAGCCTTGAAGCAATGCTTTCCTATTAGGAGGCCTAATGCATTTGCAGCTCTCGCATTGCATGTGCATTAGGCCCCCCTCCCGACCCAGCACTGACAGACATCGGCGCTGGAATCGAGTAAGTGACCAAAGGGGTTTTAACAATTGTAATGCTGGGGGTGGGCCAAATCAACACTGAATGTGAGAATTCTCCATTGACTCAGACTCTAGCTGTTCTCCGGACTCTTGATTCATCTCTAATTTTCAAACCCATGAGCATATGTTCTTGCTGAACTCAAAGTGGTGAAAGGTCTCTAACATGAATGTCCAGTCTGTTTGGTCTACTCTTTTTTCTTTTCTCTTTTCCTGCACCCTCATGGAAATAATTTAGCAAAAACATGAGATTGGTGGCTGAGAACATTGTGATTGGCAAAGGACACTAATGTCAAGAGGCTTACTTACCTCACGACATGCGCCAATTTGGTCCTGCGAATCCCTCTTTCCCTCAGCCTAGTTTTCCTGCCCTTCTGCCTCTTTTTATTATGGGGCACTCGCACATCATGACATAAATGACACTCATCCATTTTATTCCCGATGCTCCCTTAAGTTTTGGAAGCGTGGCTATAACCAATCACTTAAATAGACACTGTGGCGAAACCAACCTCGCCACTGGGCATTGGAGAAGCCTGTTTGCCTGCCTCCTGCCTGCTGACTATGGCCCCTGGGAGATTTGGCCCCTTAAATACAGTATTTGGGCACCTTGTATTTTATTATGCTGCTGCTGGCCCTTTAAGAACCATCTGGGGACATACTGTGACTTTTGGGAACAATGCCCCTTTAAGACTATGGCCCCTGGAAGATATTGCCTGTTAAAGACTATTTTAGCAGATTGGATTTTAAAAGACTTGCTGCCCCTTTAAATTGTATTGGAGCAGTTCTGCAGCTTTAAAATTGGCACTTCGGATGCAGCCAAAGTGCCGAAGTAGTCGAAGTGGCTGCCATTCGACAAATGAACACGTGGCGGCGGCCATCTTTGTTCATTCGAAAGAGGTCAGCAGTATTTGTAGCCAAATCCATGGAACTGAAATCGGCTACACATTTCAACGAACACCGCTGACCCTTACCTTCTCCTACACTCAGTTTTCAGCTGCAGAGACTAAGTCCCGTTTGGCAGTTTGAACTCACTGCTATACTAAGCTAAATGCACGAGCGGCCCCGTTTGTGCATTCGAATAGGACTTAGTCATTTTTCTGTGTAAAATAGACCGACCGCACAGCCCAAATCTATGGAACTGTTTTGTGCAGGAAAATGTGCTTGTGGTCGGTCATAAAGGACTCCCAGCTAACTTTTTATCTACTGGGTGAATTTGTCTGATTTTTGAGAGTGTTTATGTTTGAAATGTGCTGATTCTGACATATATTTTTAAAGTTATAGCACATGTGTAAAAACTGTATTTTTCCTGCTTGTGATAATTATGTTAACCCATTGTGTACCATAATTATATCACAGGCAGAGGGGAGGATTTTGTGTATAATTGCTGGGAGTGTTTTCTGTAATGTACATGTGTTATTGGTTGTTCTGTAAAACCCTGTGGGCAGTACTAAGTTTGTGGATTGGGAATAAAAGAGGCTGTATGTGCCAGTACAGTCAGTTCTGCTTGACCTCAAAACTAAGTGTCGTCTCGTTATTGGGGGAATTGGATTGTATGCTGTTTGCCAGGAGTGTAAGCTGATTGTATGCCTTTCCTGTTCAGCTGCTTACAGCATTTATATGCTTGAGAGCATTCGTATGCTTCTCCGGTTCGGTGGTTGTGGTGTCGGCTGCAGTGCTTGCAGTCCTCAGGAAGCGCTAGGAGCATCCTTCAATGGAGGTACCCAGTCAGGGTGCCAGGTGATCCGTTACAGACACCAAAAAAAAAACTAATTTTGGGATTACCTTGTTGTGTCTAACATGTTTTTAGAAAAAGAAAAAAAACACTTTAGACACAATAAGGTAATCCCCAAATCTTGGACTGGTAGGAGGGTACTTGAGGACTGGATTGGGAACCCCTGCTATGTACCAACAAAACCCTCACCCCCCATTATCAAACCTTGACCCATAGATAGCCAAGTAAGTATGTAACCTACTATCTGTTGGCTGCAATAGCAGAATCTTACATAAGCTCACTAGGAACCTACAAATAACATCAAATCTCTGTGGTTACATTCTCAACAACCCCTGGATGTTGGGCTATGGTAACATCCCCAGGACGTATTTGAAAACCAGAGTAATCTGAATGTACCTTTCCTGGTTAAATACTTTGTTATTATTATTATTAATATAATTGCCAAGCCAAGCTTTCAACAGCTTCACTCATCAGCTTGGTATGGACATCAGAAAGATCTGGAGTTGAAGTGAACTTTTAATGCACCTTTAATTTTCTACTTCAAACAGTCACATTGGTGCTTTACAGGTGACGTTTACCTTACATTCTCATTATTTGTTTTACTATGAATCAATTATGAAGGCAAAGCAGGAAACATGTGAGCAATACAGCGTAGATAACCACTGTGCAATAGTGACGTTTAGAAGACACAAGGTAAAAAAATAAAGAAAAAGAAAAGCACTAAAGGATGTTGTTCCACAGAAGATCAAATTTATAAATGACGTATTACGTTTCAAGCTTTAGTTGCCTTGATTTAACATATTAAAGCTGGACTTGCACGCCAACTGCTAACATGCACTAACCGAATTCACTAACAATGTAAAAATATTAGAATTTAGATCTAATTATACAGCTTTGTGTAATCACGAATGAAGGAAAAATACAGGAAAAGTATCTATGAAATTATATAGCTTCATGTTTTAACAGGCTGATTACAAATTTCCCTTTGTTTGAGCTGCTCTGTTCAGCCAGCATGGAAATTTAATAGGTTCAATCACAATTTTCAAAAGAATTCTCGGTAGCTGCGTGGTTCTACTTTTCCCAGAATCTTATTACAAACAGGTCTCTGTGCGTGCTCCCTTGCATGCTTGTCTTACCAATGATGGAGCCTGCCCATTTTATGAGTTATTGGAGAAAACGTCGCAAAGAATCTGTCCTTAACTCCAATGAAAAGTGATCACTATTGTTTTGGGGTTTTTACTTTTTTAACACGTCTAATTTAGGGTTTTGGAAACTTTCACTCATCCGAATGTTGTTTCTTTATAAAGTGTATGGCTGATCGACGTCCTTAGAATGGTTTACAAGTATTAGCAAAGTATAAATAAAATCCCAAATATGGGGGGAAATAAAAAACCCCCTTTTTATATAGTTTTGATGAATTCATTTTGATAAATTCATTTTTGCTGATTACCCTTTTTCCAAACTAATCCTATACAAACCCTACCCAAATTCTATGCTTATGCTAGCTCTAGCCGTACACCTACCCTAGCCTTATTATTATTATGATATTTATAGAGCGCCAGCAAATTCCGTAGCGCTGTAAAATGGGTGGACTAACAGACACGTAATTGTAACCAGACAAATTGAAGCACAGGAACAAAGGGGTTGAGGGCCCTTTTCAATGAGCTTACGTGCTAGAGGGAGTGGGGTATAGTGACACAAAGGGTATAAGTAGAGGTAATGGAATAGGTTGCTAGAAAAGTATTCACTGAGAACTTAGTAGGTTATCCCTACACTCTCCCTGAACCAACATTAACCCTTAACCTACAGTAACATTAACCCTACCCTAACATTACCGGTAATTCAGAGGGATTCCCTCTGGTGACAGGAGTACTGAGAGCTATGTATCCATTTACTGTGTGATCGGCGCTGGTCAGCAGGCATTTCCTAGCGTTAATCACTGTTAGCAGGGGGACATACAGGGAAACCATACTGGGTAATTTTCAGACTCTGAGGGTCTTCTTTTCTCTGGGGACAAGCTGAGAATCACTGTGGTTGAACGTGATTGCTCAGCCGTGGTGATTTAAATGGATTTAAAGGGCTGTATGCAGTGATCACTTTGTTGCTTTCAGCTCATCTGTCCATCTGGAGCCAGCTGATAGACCGTAGCCTCAGTTATTATTTAATACCTGGGTTTCTCCAGCAGGCCCGGACTGGCCATCGGGCACACCAGGCAAATGCCCTGTGGGCCACGTGGCCATGGGACGAGGCCGGCAGGGGAGATTACAGGATCTCTCTTGCCGGTCTATGCAGGGCCAGCACTATCCAAGCGCCGGCCCTGCAGTAGTCCACTCAAAGATCTCCCTCACCGGCCCACGTGTAGTATATTGCAGCCGGCGGGGGAGAGGGAGGGAGACAGGAGAGGAACCCGGAGGAGCTCTAACTTACAGCTCCACCGGCTTCCTCTTGTGAAGTTCAGAGCGTTGCCCACGGGCTAGAGTTCAACCACCACAAGGACCACCAGGGATGGCAGCAGAAGCAAGACTCCCCTCCTCCCCCAGGCTAAAGGTAAGAAGGGAGGGGAGATATAATCACTCAGAGCACCCTCACTCACACACACCCTGCACCCCTGACACTCACAGCACCCTCACACACACTGCATCCCTGACACTCACAGCACCCTCACACATACACACTGCACCCATAACGCTCACAGCACCCTCTCACACACACACACACTACACCCCAACACTCTCAGCACTCTCACGCACACACACACACTGCACCCCTGAGACTCACAGAACCCTCACTCACACTCACACACACTGCACCCCTGACACTCACAGAACCCTCACTCACACTCACACACACTGCACCCCTGACACTCACAGAAACCTCACTCACACTCACACACACTGCACCCCTGACACTCACAGCACCTTCACACACACACACTGCTTCCTCACATGCACATAGCACCCTTACGCAAACACTGCACCCATCACACACACAGCACCCTTACCCACACAGCACCCTCACTCACATACAGCACCCATCACTCACACACAGCACACACACACTACACCCTTCACACACACATTGCACCCCTCTTGCACACACACTGCACCCCTCTTGCACACACACTAAACCCCTTACGCACACACACACAGTACAATATGCTTTCCTAGAATTTTTGTTTCCTGGTATCCCATCTATGGAGACACCAGAGACAAATTTCAAGCAAACACAGTGCAAGCATGTTATTAAATTTGCTTGCTGGGAAGATAGGGTGTGTTTTGTCATCACCAATGACAAGCACGCCCCATCACAAAGTGAGCATGTTGCAGAACAAATACGGGGCCTTTTTCTCATGCTAGAGCTCTTCAGCAGAGCTCTGCGCATGGTCTACCCTCGAAGAGCATTGAACCAACATGCTCACTTTGTGATGGGGCAGAACAAATACGGGGCCTTTTTCTCATGCTAGAGCTCTTCAGCAGAGCTCTGCGCATGGTCTACCCTAGAAGAGCATTGAACCAACATGCTCACTTTGTGATGGGGCGTGCTTGTCATTGGTGATGACAAAACACACCCTATCTTCCCAGCCCCCTTTTTAGTGGGCCACTGTAATTAAAACGTGCCAGGGCCGAATTTTCTTCCCAGTTCGGCCCTGCTCTCCAGTGTGAGCAGTGATTTAACCCTGCTTATGCCAAAATGTGTGTCTAATAAGTGTCCTAGTATTGTTTTTGTAGATTAAATTAAAGCCAACCTAATGACTACATAGAAAGCTATATATATATTCCTTTTTATAAAAAAACATAATAAATAAAATGCCTTGGTCCCTCTTGTTAGGAGCTCCATATTGTTGGTGTGTCTGAGTGTATAATAGAGCACAACAGCAATAATACTCCCAGTAATGGGTCTCTAAACTACAATAAATTTCTTTAGATTTTGGTCCGTGTAAATAAGAAACATTGTTGTTGCAATAAATTACAGTCCCACCTAACATTTCTCTGAACACCCCCTGCCCTGGCCACACACTCCTAAAATGAATGTGTCCCTCTTTGTTCGTGTGAAATTTTGGAAGACATGAAAGTTCCATGCCGTTCTAATGGCAGTAAAGCCGACTATATCTAGCATGACGTGGAACATCCTAACATCTTTAAGACATACAGTAATAATCTATGTTATAAAATCGTGATTTCTAATGGAGTATTGTTATAGAAAAGTGGGGACTCGGAAAAAAAAAACTCTGGGAGAGTTGTGGAAACACAATATTTCAGAACTACTGTGCCTGAGGTGTTTTTTTTTAAAAATCTGCCTTGGAACATAGGTAAGGCATAACCAGATATTTTGGAAGGGTAACAGCTAGGTGCATTTAAGTATGTATAGAGTGAGTTTCCATGTAAAAATGTGTTTGGGATTGTGATTGCACTCTAATATCAAATCTGCCTCATGTTGACTGCCATAGGTTAAGAGCATTTAAAAAATGGTCACTGGTCCACACTCTAAAACCAATTTGGCTGGCCTCCAATGGGATGCTAAGAAATTCTAGATCACTTTTTTAATCTCTGCAGGAGAATTTTTACCAAAACACTTCAGTTTTTTTCAGAACAAAGGGAGGATCTGATGTCCCCACCACACTGCTAACAGTTCCAGGAGGAGGTGTATGCTAATCTTTGTGGTAGCAAGTACCAGCATAGCAACAGTTTCCAATGAGTCTCCCACTGGTTGATACCGGGAGATATCCCACACATACGTGAGACCGCTCTACTCCACTGGCTCTGTGAGAAAACCTTTCCTAGCTCCTGTTCCCATTTTAACTTGTATATTAACTTGTCTGTCATAGAGATCATAATCAGGGAAGATAAGCACAGGGATAGTGGTCTAGATTTGTCCCCAATGCCCAAGCATAGTTTATGGATTGGAGACCAATGGTAGGTGATCTCCTCAAGCTCTATTTTTGTAGATAAGATGTGTTTTTTTTCTAATATAAGTAAACTGGTTTTATGTGAGAGTTCTGAAAATCTGTAAATTGTCTAATCTGAGAGTTAGAGATCAGTTGGTGGACATGGGTGATGCCTACTCTAGTCCAGGCTTCCAAGGGGAGATCACCCGTGTATAGCATGAGTGATTGTATAGGGGCCATCAGGAGTTTGAGAGCTATTTAATTTAGGGCATAGTGATAGGGAAAATGCAGATATGTGTAGTCGCACCGACCTGGGGGGAATGTCATCATGCCCAGCCACGACACAGTTTTGCCTGCCCCTTCAGCGAATCTTTTGTTTGGTTTAGTATTTTCTAGTGATTGAGAATCAGTAAGTTGAATCCCCAAGTATCCTAGGGCGCTGGCTCTCCAGTCGAATTGCTGATCCTGTTTGATGGAGGTTACTACTTCTGTTGGGAGGTCTATGAGTTTTTCCTAGATTCTTTTTGTAGTATGTCACCCGGCCATATCTGTCTAGTAGGTCTAAGATGTTGGTCAGCAAAACCTAGGGGTTTACAAGTAATAGCAGAATATGTGTGCTAATCTTTGTGGTAGAAGTACCAGCATAGCAACAGTTTCCAATGAGTCTCCCACTGGTTGATACCGGGAGATATCCCACACATACGTGAGACCGCTCTACTCCACTGGCTCTGTGAGAAAACCATTCCTAGCTCCTGTTCCCATTGTAACTTGTATATTAGCTTGTCTGTCATACAGATCATAATCAGGGAAGAATAACACAGGGATAGTGGTCTAGATTTGCCCCCAATGCCCAAGCATAGTTTATGGATTGGAGACCATTGGTAGGTGATCTCCTCAAGTTCTATTTTTGTAGATAAGATGTGTTTTTTTTATAATATAAGCAAATTGTTTTTTTAATGTGAGATTTCTTAAAATCTGGCTCTCCAGTCGATTTGCTGATCCTGTTTGATGGAGGTTACTACTTCTGTTGGGAGGTTTATGAGTTTTTCCTAGATTCCTTTTGTAGTATGACACCTGGCCATATCTGTCTAGTAGGTCTAAGATATTGGTCAGCAAAACCTAGGGGTTTACAAGTAATAGCAGAATATAATCTATGAATAGTGCAAAAGATTGCTCTCCCAGTGGTAATGGAATCTCTTGGATATGAGGGTGTGCTTTGATGTGTTGCACTCGCGATTTCAAGGCTAGAATAAATACGAAGGGTGACAGTGCAGCCCTGTCATGTTGAATGGTTGGGAGATGAAACCCGAACTGATAATCGTGAGTAAAGGGTTTTTCTTGTTAGAAAACCAGGTGAGAGGGAGGCAAAATCTATTTAATGTAGCCAGCATGTATTTCTAGTTAAGGCAGTTGAACACCCTTTCGGCATCTAATGCTAAGAGTGCTCCAGGGACTTTGCTAGGGCAGTGGTAACTAAATAACTCCTTATCTCCTGCTTGGCCACCACAGACAAATCCCACCTGTTGTTCTGATTCTACCTTGGGTATTTTCATATAGTTACATACAGTTATGCATATAGTTTTGTATCAATGTTCAAAAGCAATATGGGTCTAAAGTTGGAGCTGACATGTGGAGGTTTACTCAGCTTTGGGAGTTTTATAATGTGGGCTCCTATCATTTCTTTTGGAATTTGGCCTGGAACATGAGCATGCAAACACTGCCTTTTCAGAGAAATGATTTTACATTTCTGCCTAGTAACACCTCTGGAGGCAGTCACTCAGATGGCCGATAGAGGTGCTTCATGAGTTAGCGCTGCACAGATGCTGAATGCTCCCCATAGAGATGCATTGATTCAAGATGCTGATGAGGAGATCTTAAGAGAAAGTATTGGATTGGCTGAGATTGTCAAACTTGATAAGTTGGAGCAGGGCGGAGCCAGACGCAACAAGACTGGCGCTGTGCTGGAAAAAAAGTGAGTAAATAACATTTTAACTGGAGGCAAGAGGGAGCTGGGGACCTAAAATGTGTTTTTACAACTACACACCTTTGTATTCCTGACACTATAATGTTCTTTTAAGGTTGGCAAAGCATCATCCAGCATTGGGATTTACCATTGATCACCCCCTGAACTACACCTTTGAGTTTAGAACTAAGCCTCTTTTAGCCCTACACAAAATGTATGATGCCGTTGTTATAAATGATCCTTGTTCTCACCTGGGCTCCTCATGCAGAGGGAAAAAATTAAACGGTTTAGAGAGCAACTCGATGCCTGTACAATTTTGCAGACACATTATGCTCATGCATAAAAATCATAGAGTGAGGAGGATAATATAAGCATGATATTTTTCTGATCATGTAATACTGAAGATGAAAGTTTTTACTGCCAGCACCCATCATAGTTGGATTGCCCATAATACGGCTTAGGTGACTCTCTAGGGCCCAGGATCAGATCATGGGCGTCCACAGGGTGGGGCACCTGGACACAGAAGGGTACAAGGATGGGCTGGGGGAAAAATCATACAGAGAGCCTAGGGGGGCACAAAGACACACAGAGGAGCTGTGGGGGACAAAGACACACAAAGGGGCTGGTGGGACAAAGAGGCACACAAAGGGGTTGGGAGAGAAACAGATGCAGCAAGAGGAAAGAAAGAGGCCGGTCACAGCAGCCAACCTGCCAGCCAGGCGCAGCAGCCAACCAGATGGCCGCAGAAGCCTACCAGCCACATTAGCCTGCCAGCCACCGTAATTAAGGTGAGAAGTGCCAGAATAGGGTGAATGGGAGCCAGAGAGAGACTCCTCTTCAGGACCCATTAGATGTCATTGTAGTCTCTACTGAGGCCTTGAGGGGACTCTTTCTAACATTTAGTTTACAAATTTGTGCAGTAAATATTCTTGAAAACATATGGATAAGCTACTGGTGTCAAATGCTCTAGGTGTGCCCGTGTGCTCAAGCAGCTTCAAGTCAGACCGGCCAGGTAGAATAAATAGAAGATCCTCTATGGTCCACTCAGGGAGATAAAGAGACACACAGTGGGGGGAGGAGGGGATACTGTGTGTGCAATCTGGTGCTGCGATGTAAAAAGTGCTGTGGGTGCAATATGATGTTGAGGGTGCAATCTGGTGCTCAAGCTGGTATTTTTCATGCAACCTATTGCTG